ATAAATTATCAAATGCATTCCTTGAAATCATTTACCAAATACTCGTTGGTCATTTCCTCTTACCTTTAATAACGGAAGCAATTTAGATGTCCGATTTAAAATTAACACCCTGTATACAAACATGTAGATACATAGATATCTTTTCAGGTTATGGCAGCAACCCTCGAAATCTGGCGTCGCGATTGCGATTCTCCACGGTGTGGCAGGATTTCTGCGCGCGGCGCGGACGGGCCGAGCAAAGACGATTGTTGCGCCAACAAAATACGCGAGTGGCCGGTCCAAGTGAAAAGAAATCAGGACCAGTCCGGGCCCGGTGCATTGTCGCGGCTAGAAGCGACGCGTTTATATATAACTGAGGAGTTTAAGAGCACAATACGGCATAAATCAGCGATCATCGCGTAGCCTCGCGCCTGACCAATTCAGAAGGAACACGCGTGGGCGCGTTGCCGCACGCGCGACCCGAATCCACTCCGAATCGCGTACCTTATCGCTGATTTTCCGTTCTTTACGAGCGTCGATAAGAGAGCTTAGCCAGATTGTAAGAGGCAAGCGACGATTGTGATTTAAAAGACTATGTACATACCTATTTACAAACATACATTGGAATTGTGGGTTTGATAGGTATAAATAGCAGATGAAAATTAGAATGTTGATTGGTATATATGTCTGTTCATAATATCTGTATTTAATAAAAATATAAATATAACGAGTATATTAGATTAAATATATATTTAACTTATTATATATCTATCAAGGAAGTCTGAATTTTCAAATAAATGTAGTAAATAGATATACATATACCGCGAAAATATATTCGTATTCTATAAGCAACCGTATCGTATTATGCATGTAAACAGATAGACGTGCATCTAGTTCGCAAATGATCGAAACGTATTCTGATTTGTATTCGCTGGCCGTGCAAGCCCAATCATTCTATTTGCCAGTGGATGAGACGAAATGAAATGAAATCCAGAAATTCGGCTTATTCTACTCGCGAACGCGTCGGCTTTATTACTTTCATAATAATCATTCGGATCCTCTATGGATAGAGCGACGAATGAATATCTGATTAATTTGTACTTGCTATGAATTTTCTACATTGTATTTCTCACAGAAATTGTTTGTATTAATGAATAAAATACGGTATAACACATTAAAAAACAAATTATGCAAGATAATTAAAGAATCGTTTATTTAGTTACATTCTGGATAGAAATAATATTTAATTGTTAATATTTAATCAAGTTTTTCTACAAAAATTCTACTGAAAATAGAAACTTTTATAGATTCCAAGAAAAATTCTATATACGTACATACATAAAAATTCTATAGGAAAATCTTTCTAGATTTAAGGTTAACTAACAATCTGGATTTAAATATTTGTTATTTTAATATTTATTTTAATATCCGCGCAAAATGCAATAGAAAAATACAGATGCTTCTTTGCATAAAAATATTGATCAAGATATTCTCTAATTAGAAGTAAAGAACGTTTTCTTTTCAAGTAGTTATTTCTCTTTCGAAACTATCCAAACTGTACTTTAAATATTTCACATACCCATAAAAACATCGATAGTATTTAAATTTTTCTTTTGTTTTGAAACATCTTGTATTTTAATACAGTTTTCTGACTACTATGTCACCTTCCCATTTTATTTTTGAAACAAATAACTTCCATCCATATATAATTTTAATTGCATATATTCCATCCATATATAATCCCTTCTTCTTTTGTATTTCATATTCAATGAGTAAAGAAAATGATATAAACAATGAACATAATAATTCAGTGCAAAAGCCTCATTAGGTGGTAGATCTATTCTATACTTTATCTATGGTATAATTCTTAAAATCTCAAAGATCAACATCTATATAAGTTTCTTCTTATCTATGACATTATAGCAGTAGATGGCGTTCTGAGATAAATAGTATTAAGTTGTTTTTATGTGATAATAGACGTATAAATTGGAAACATTCAATTTAATGAAAAATATTACACTTAAAAGGAATCTTTATTAATTTTATATTTCTTCATAGTGTATATATGTGGTTATGTTCCTAACAATAAATAACTACTTTTGTAGTTAACAATAACAATTATTGTTAATAATAACAATTATAACAATTATTATTACAATAACAATTGTAATAAATAACAAGAGTATGTTTCCTTATGATAAATATAAGGAAGATATCATATACTATTAAAAATGCAGAGAGAATTAAATGAAATAGTTGAAAAGTCATTACAAAAAGCTTACGATCATAATAGAACTGGGAACGTAGGAAAAGCATATGCATATTATACGGTTGTTGCAGAGCTATGTCCTCCAAAAAGATTAGAAATTGAAGAAGCATTTGTTAATGTTCTCTGTATGTTGTTATTTTATCAACAGTACTTTTTAAAGCCTAAAAACTTAAAAATGTTTTTATTTAAGGTCAATGGGGAATACAGTTAGCAGGTGAGAATAGATTTGCAGATGTTGTTTTATGTTACAAGCGTTCATTAGATATTTATCCAAACAATCCTCATATGTTAAATAATTTCGCAGCGCATCTCTTAAGGTAATTTAACTCATTGCTTGAATTAATGTATTATCAGTCAATTTAAAATTAATTTTTTGACGTGACAGATATCATGACCGCTAAAATTCCTTATAATGAGGAAAAAAACTATATTGTTAAAGGAATAATGATCCAATAGAGGCAATAAAATACTTAAGGAGAGCCCTGCAAGCGAATCCTAATTTTTTACCAGCAGAACGGAACTTGGAAAATGCATATAGCATGGCTGTAGATAGATGGCATTTTCCAATGTTAAATGACAAGCAGAGAAACATGGCTTTTGAGTGTGTAATTCGCAAGAGAATTTCTCAAGGATATGATACTGTATTAGATGTAGGAACTGGTACAGGGTTATTAAGTTTATATGCACAGAATGCAGGTGCTAAAAAAATTTATGCCTGTGAATGTTCACCAGCAATGTTAAAAATTGCGGAGAAAGTATTTGAAACTAACAATGCCAGAGACATAATATTATTACCAAAACTTTCTTCAGACCTTGTAATCCCTACAGATATTGCAGAAAGGTTAGTTCTACGATAATAATAATAATAATATAATTAAACCAACAAAAAAGCTTTAATTTCATTCCTAATCTTTTAGAGTAAAATTAGTAGTTACAGAAACCTTTGATGCTGGTTTATTTGGAGAACATGTGATACCATCCATGATAAGCGTACATTCAAATGTTTTGGATAAGAATGGCATAGTAATACCAATGGGAGCTACACTTTACATAGCTGCTGTTGAATGTGAATATATAAGAAACAAATCAGCTGTGATGTTTGATAAAGTAAAACATTTTTGTCCTCTAAATTTTGATAATGTGTCTGTATTATTGGATGAGGAATACTATGACACAGACAATTTAAAAAATGTGGAAGTTAATTACATAGTAGAACCCACAGCATTTTTCACCATCAATTTCAACGACTTGTCAGACTTACAACAATTTAATACAGATGGAATAAAAAATATTATAGATATAACGTGTAAACGTAGTGGTACTATAGATGGTTTAATAACATGGTTTAAGTTACATCTTGATGAGGAAATAACAATAGACACTTCAGAAAAAAAATCATGTTGGCAAGTTGCCATTTTCCCTACAATACCAAAATCATTACAGAAAGGTGACGCAGTTGCAATTAAGGGAGAAATGTTGAAAGGAAAACTTAAATGCTCATATTCATCAAATAATTCTCAATGTGATAACTATGATCATAAATTTTTGTACCGTTTACCAAAAGAAGTCATAATGTTTTTAAATGATGTAGAGTACATAAAATTACTTACCGAGGTTAGCAAATCATTCACTAACAAAGAAATACACAGTATTTTAGATACTTCCCCATTTCCTATTTATGGATTAATATTACTAAAGGAAAACAAGCATAGCAATATTTTATACTACAAAAATGAAAATATAGCATTTCAACAATTTATCAAACAAATAGCAGAACAAAATGGTTTCAAGGATAAATTACGTATCATATCAAAATACAATCATATTTCCGATTCCTTAGATACTATATTTATTCATGATTTTGACATTAAAGGAGAATTGAGAGATTATAGTGAGGAATATAATCATGAATTTTTTCGGTAAGAATATATTCAAAAGCTGTGTAATTACATTTTGTTTATAATGGAATGAAAATTTTAATACTTTTACAGATGTTTACTTAAACCAAATGGCATTTTGTTGCCTGAACAGATATTTTTTGTAGGTCAGCTTGTATTTTCAGATGACTTGCCAAATATGGTTTATGTAGAAGATAAAAATTTACAAGATATATCGACGTTTGCATTTAATACACCAAATTGTGAAAAGGTATATTTAAGAGATCTGTTTAATATGTTGGCTGTCAACATGTTAAGATAATTTCTGTATTCATACATAAAAATTAATACCAAATTACCTTATAATACTCCTTTACAGGAAACACATAATACTTTTAATAATACAACTTCTTATGGTATTGCACAATACATTAACGAATTTAAGGTAAAATATAAAATGTTATAATAAGACAATATAATTACAAATTTTTCGCCATGATATTATATACAATATTACAGATAAATCAAATTTTTGATTTGAATTCGAGTTTGTATTTATATGAAGCTTTATCCGATATAAATGTATTGATAGAAATGAGAGAAAATGAAGTTGCTGAACGTATGATAAATTTTGGAAAAATAAGTGCAACTAATAATAAGTTATTACCAAATGCTTTAGTATGTTGGTACAAAGTCAAATTGACGTTAAATCATAATTATGATACAAAAAGAAATGGGTCATTTATGAATCATATGGCAATATTACTAGAAGATGAATTAAAGAATTCCATTTTACAAGGTAACGAAGTATGTATAAAAGTTCTGCAAGGTGAAGGTATAATTGGGGTAAAAGTAAAATGATTTTAAAAACACAATTTTTTATAATTATTACCAATTTTAAAATATACATTTTTTTTACATTTTTCAATAATTTAAGTACATATAGTTCAATACAGATGAAAGTGTATATACTTATAATAAACTCTGTGCATATAAATACTGTAAAAAATGACTTACATTAAGTACTACAAAAATAAATTTAATATGAATTATATTCTCATACATCCCCTTCATGTAGTGTTATATAATAAAAATTATTTTATAAAAATAATATATATATTTTATAGAAATAATAAATAATTTATAATTTACTTTGTAAATTATCGTCTAGAAATTTACATATATGTGGTGCTACCCACTCAGGATAATTATTATGTACATCATGATTTCCTCTGACTTGAATTACAGTAAAAAGATCAGTTTTGTTAGTAATTAATGGTAATGTTTTTACTATTTGTGACAAAATATTTACTCGTACGGAACTGTCCGCTATAATTATTAATGTTTTAGTTGTATATTTTTTAAAAATTTCCTTGTGTTGTTCCAGTGTAAAAAATGGTCTAACAACATGTCTTAATCTTGTATCACGATTAAATTTGTACAAATCACCAACCTTAGTAACTGCACGTTTAAATAAAGCTTCTGCAGCCTCCATTCTTAATGTCTCAAATCTTTTAAATTGCAAAGCATACATAATTTCATCTTTAGTATAAAGTATATTAGAATCTTTAGTATAAGCGTTTAAATTATATACATCTCGAATATAAGGAACAATATCCTTAACCAGAAAAGGTAGAAATCCATCGAGTGCTACAATTTTTTCAAGTCTTCCAGGGTACAAAATACTGAAATATGTTGCAATATGAGCTCCAAAACTGTGTCCAATATATATACAGGTTTGCCATTTTAGTGCATCCAAAACAAACAATATTGAATGGACATAATCAAAATAATGCAATGGCATTCCAGATGGCATTGGAGATGAGAGTCCATGCCCTGGCAAATCTATATTCACATATTGATATTTCTGTGGAAGGTGTTCAATTAACCTGTCAAATGTACCAGCATTGTCTAAAATACCATGCACCATTAGAACTCTTTCTTCTTTCAGAGATCCATAGATCTTGCCTGCAATATGACCCCATGGTACTGGGAATTTCACTTCTATTGATGTTCTTCCTTGATTCATATTAATTTTGGTAAAATATTTACTTTATACAAAATAATCCTTTTGTTATTTTATCTTCTTTTATGTTCAGTAAGACTAAAAATTCTTATTTTCGATTAATCTTAACTGTAACTATATAATAATACTAATACAAAAATAATTACCATTGTAAATTACGTAGATGAAGAACTTGAATGAAATGTTAGAGTCCAAAGCTCAAAACGAATAATAATTTTACAAGTCACAAATACTTAACATAGTAATATAATGTACTAATCATATTCATAAAATATTGAGTGTATTACTTGATAAATAAATCCTATATTAGGAATATATATCTCATATTTTCGCTATTACAGAATACTGTAAAGAACATGATTTAACATTCTTTTTACTTGCATTTGATCATTTGGTAATTAAAGTTAGATAGCTAATGAAACATGTTTAGGAAAAAAGTTACTATTTATTTCATAAAAACAGTGCAGTTTATTAGAAAAACAAAGACAATTGAAAATAATTATCGATGTTTTAAATGTTTCAATTGTTCTAAAACATAATGTCATAGCTTCTGTAAGTATATGTATATGTATACATATATGTCGAATTATAATTGCATATTCGTTATTTTCTTAGTATTGATTATCCTAGTTAGAAAATTAATAAACATAATTTGTACTAAAAGTATTTATTTCTTTACGAAAATTTAAACAAGAATGTTACCCTTAAAGTCTTAAAAATAATAATTATTATTATATATGTATACAAATTAATTATATATAATATATGGCAATGTATTTAGTAAACAGTATATGAAAGTATCTCTGTTTGAGATATTCATAGTATGTCAGGCATGCACAAAATGAGAACCTCTTGTCTTCCATGTTGATTTCTCACGACTCAATTTTCGGACAGTTTTCCCTATGCTTCAACCTATTTCGGTAATGGATGTCGAGATTTGTTTATATAATCTTGAATGAAACTTTTAGAATTTAAACATATAATATGCTAAACGAAGATGCACTAAACTTTATTTACACTCATATAACTTTGTATTTGTATAAAATTAAATAAAAATGAATAATATTTTACATAATAACTTACTAATTTAAAAGATAGGAAAAAGATTATATTTTTAACAATTATGTTTTTTGGGAATAAACGATCTCATTACAAATGGTTAGAATTATCAGAAAGGATCATTATTAAGAATAATAAAGTACCAAAATTGGTTATTTAAAATTTTATTATAAATAAACAAACTTATTGATAAATATGATAGAAAATAATTATAATTATAAAATAACCAATCTTCTCCCTACTTCCTCATTTTTCATCGTACCAGATTCTCGTTATTCAAAATAATAATAAATGGGAAATTAAAGTTTTGTATATACCGCCAAATTTGTATGATATCAATGATTGATATCAGGTGGCGTAACAATTTGCACACCACTTGAATATACAGGAGTTTTCTGGCTCTGCTTTGTCATGGACATGCAAGCTTCTAATGGTTCGTACTTGTTTTCCTACGCTATGTGATATGCTCGCGCGTTAAATTACATCGTAATTTATGATTCTGGGACTGAATACTTTACACAGGATATGGTGTATCTCCAAAGAGAAACTTCTTCTTTTGAAACATGTTTCCCAGTGGAAAAGGTTGAATAAATGTTGATTTTCAAAGCTTCGGCGTCGCTTTGAGAAATAAATCATATTGAGTTTTTTTTGCACATTTTATACGACATAGAATAGAATTCAGATGCGATAGAATCAATTCAAAAAACTGTTTTTGTGTAATAAATTACGTTCTGTATAGTAATTTGTTAAATGAATTCTCTTGCATGTACTAAAAATCCTTCGACCTATTAAGCATCATAATTTAATCGAAATTGCAGTATTTGTAGAATATACTTTGTCCTACATCAAATATTGTTCGTTCGATTGTAATATCCTGTTATTCGATACTAAAAGATATTAATATATATAATCTGTCTAAGAGTAATATTTCAATCATTATGTGAATATAGGAATGGATATTTGTATGAATTCAGTGTATGCTTCCATCCCTGGATTACCGGAACTAGGGATGGTATGGATGGGAGATATGATGGTACATGGAGAACCTACACATGAACTTATGTTGGATCCACGTCAAGCTGAAAGTCCTTTTTTTCCTCATGGTTCAAATCCATATGAAAATATTAGAAATCACCAAATCGCACCTACAACTATGGTACGATATCTACCACCTCAGTTCCCTAATGAATGTTCAGAGCCTGATGAAGCTGTGGAAGCTGTCGATTCCCAGGAAATACAACAGGTAAACTCTAATCCTTTAAACACACATATTTTAATTTTACATTGTACCTATAAGTAATATGTACACAGTAATATTTACCATTATTATTTTTTCAGGAATATGATTCACAGTCTGAAAGACAAGAAATGACTGAATATTTGACATTAGAAGATTACATTGGTGACGAAGAACGAGAGCAAGTTGTAAACAATGCAGCAACACAAACTACTCAGGATAATCGCAATAGGAAAATAAAACCTATAAAGCATCCTGGATTGGTTTTAAAGACACCAATTGCATATCAACCACATACAGATTTAAATTTTATTCCCATTCGTAAGGATGGTATAGGTTAGATATAGAATTCAAGATCATAATTATAAATTCTAAATTTATTGATGTATAATTGTAAGCTTCTATTATCTTGTTATAGCTGTTTGCGAAAAATGTGGTGCTATTGGTGTGAAACATGCATTTTATACTAAAGAACGACGATTTTGTAGTAGAGCATGTGCAAGATCTTCAGAACATACAGCTCCTACTGCTGATTCTACATATAGTCCATCACATTCTGTAGAGGCACATGCATCTGTAAATTCAACTTCTCCAAATGAATCTAAATTAACAAAGAATGTGAGTTACATGTAAAAATAAGTTTTTAAAAAAATGAAGAACTCATACAATATTTTTTAAATATCTTAGGTCATAGTACAAGAAGAAACAGACATAAAAGAACCTTTTGAACTAGAGAAAGAGAAAGTTATATCAGAACCAGTAATGCCGGAGGATTTACCTGTAAGAAGAAAAAGAACTGCTGAAATGGCAGGTTCTTATGATTGGACCCCACAATTGACAGAACCCGGATTTTGTGCTGCTCCAGTATCTTGTTTTAAACATGTCAGTCTTCCATACAATGTTAATATAGTACTACATAACTTTTAATTTAGATTCTGATATTTTTGCTATTATACTTTGAATTTTGCATAGATTTTATTTCAATTTTTATATTTCAGGCACCTATATCAGAAATATGGGATAATATCACAGTTGGTATGAAAGTAGAAGTGGAAAATACTGATTGCGACGAAGTATGTGAAGCTTTCCCAGATTCCTTTTGGGTTGCTACTGTGTTACGTATATCTGGATATAGAGCTTTGTTAAGGTATGAGGGTTTTGGACTCAATGATGATAAAGATTTTTGGGTATCTTTGTGCTCGAATGACATACACCCTGTAGGTTGGTGTGCAACCATTGGAAAACCTCTTATTCCACCTAATAGTAAGCAAACATTTATGATGCTTACATTGTTATGGATCCCCCTTTGTTTTTGTACAAAATTTGTAATAATGAATCATAATAATCCTTTACAGCAATTGCTGATAAGTACAAAGACTGGAAGGATTTTCTAATGAAACGATTGACAGGTGCAAGAACACTGCCAACTAATTTTTATAATAAAGTTAACGATAGTATGAAGTCGCGTTTTAGATGTGGATTTCACTTGGAAGTCGTAGATAAAAATAGAATCTCGCAAGTAAAAGTAGCAACAATACAAAAAATTGTGGGTAAACGATTACATGTACGATACTATGATTCACCACCCGAAGACAATGGCTTTTGGTGCCACGAAGATTCTCCTCTTATACATCCTGTTGGGTGGGCAAAACGGGTAGGACAAACGTTGGATGCATATCCTGAATATTTAGAACGTGTGTCAAAATCAAAATTGTGTGAAGACGACGCAACTGAAGACCTTTTCTATGTGCCAAAGAACCATCATGTACATCTTGGATACACATTTCGAGAAGGAATGAAAATAGAAGCCATTGATCCTCTTAATCTCTCTGCCATATGCGCAGCAACAATTATGCAAGTTTTAAAAGAAGATTATATAATGATCCGTATAGATAGTTATGATGAAGATGCAAGTGGTGCTGATTGGTTCTGCTATCATTCATGTTCACCTTGTATTTTTCCAATTGGATTTTGTTCTCAACATGGATTACCACTTACACCACCAAAGGGCTATGATCCTACTACATTTACATGGGATACATATTTAACAGAGACGAATACTATACCCGCTCCTGTGCAGTTATTTAATAGGGTAACTAAAGAAATAATTTTAATAATGTAATAAACGTTAGAAATAGTATTTTTCATAGAGGTAATAAATTTAAGAAATATTATAAAACCTTTATAGAAATACAAATTTTATAGGTTTTGTACTATTTATTATATTTTGTATTCATGTATAACTATATTCATTGCTTTTCAACATACAGAAATTTTCATTATAGGAAATACCTCAACATGGATTTATTGAAGGAATGAGGCTTGAAGCAGCTGATTTAATGGATCCTAGATTAGTTTGTGTTGCTACTATTACTAGGGTGATTGGAAGGTTATTAAGAGTACACTTTGATGGTTGGGAGGACGAATATGATCAATGGCTAGATTGTCAGAGTCCTGACATTTATCCAGTTGGATGGTGTGATTTGGTTGATCATAAATTAGAAGGGCCCCGTGTACTCAATAAAAACACTAGTCCTACTGGTAAATACTTGTTTCATATTCTAAAAAATGTAGTTTCATATTTTAACCCATTCATTGCCAGACAAATTTGGAGCATCTTGCCCTAGGCGCCAAGATTTTATTTAAAAAAAAAACATGGAATTTCACAAAATCTAATATTTAGTTGCAGATATAGTACTAAAATGGTATTTACAGTAATTTGAAAATGAAAAAAACATTATGAGATAACTTGTAGTCGGCAGTCTTGGTACATACGCTTACTACGAGATATCTTGTTGGGAGTGA